TTCTGATCAAAGTACATCTTGGGATCATCCAAAAATGTAAATTAGCAATTTATTTTTTTTAAATAAATAAATAAATATTTGATTTTCTTTAAGGATTGAATTAATGCGTTCATTTTCAAATTTTAATGATATTCGTTTTTCTGCTTATCGTACAGCAATGAAACTTCGTACATTACAAAAACGTCTTTGTCGTATGTTTTATTGAATATTTTTTTTTTTTTATCTTAGTTTTTGTTTTAGTTGATTTAACATCACTTAGTGATATTATAAGTGTTTTTGAAGAACATCAAACAATTGATTTACCAAATAAAAATATTGATAAATATGTTGATATAACAGAAATTCTTTATTACTTACAATCAATATTTGAAAAAACATCAAATGAATATCCACAATTAATTAATATTATAGTTACTGTTGATTTAACACTTAATTGGTTATTAAATATTTATGATACGTAAGAAAAACAACAACAAAAAAAGAAATTCATTTTATATTTATAATAAATCCTAGGTTTATTCAAATACTATAAATATTAATAAGAATTTTCGAAGAGATGACAACCATTACTCGTTCTCTAAGGATAGAGTCTGTAGAAAAGCAAGTTTTTCAGTTCATAGAATTCTATTTGAATCATCCACAATGATAGAACATAAATGATATTCGCTAAGTTTTGACCCATCTTAATCAATAAATCTATTGATTAAGGTGAATCAAAACTTTTGTGAACATCCTTTATAATTCTCCACAAAATGAAACGTGTTTCAGGTCTATACAGCAGTTTTTTTGATTGAGATATATCAATCTTATGGAAAGCATGAAAATTTAATTATATATTAAATTGAGAATTTGATTTTTAGAAATCGAACTGGCTCAATTCGTTTATTAGCAATGAAAATGGCATTAGCTTTACTTTGTCGAGGAAATATTGAAGAAAAATATCGATGTAAGTTCTATATAAAAAACTTCTATATATATATGAGGTTTAATGTTTTCCATTAGATATTTTTTCATTGGTGGCCTGTCCATCAACGGATAATGATGTTCGGGATGTTGTTGACAGACAACGTTTGTCGATTTTATTTCAACAAGCAATTGTTGTATGTATTTATTTTTTAAAATAAATTAAAGAAATAACTAAAGATTCATTCGAAATTGAGTCATGATATTTAATTTAACTAAATTATCTTGAGATTTGAAATAAAATAAAAAAATTGAATTTTCATTGATCGCTACTTTTTTTCAGAAAATATTCAAATACATTTGATTGAACATGTTTTTATTTTTTTAGATCCCAAAACAACTCGGTGAAATTGCTGCATTTGGTGGATCAAGTGTCGAACCAAGTGTAAAAAGTTGTTTTGATTATGTAAGAAGGTTTCTTTTTTTATTTTAAAATCTAAATATATATATATATATATTTAGGCACATAATCCGAATGTATTAACAGCGAATGATTTTCTTGAATGGATTAAATTAGAACCACAATCACTTGTTTGGTTACCTGTTATGCATCGTTTAGCAGCAAGTGAAGCAGCTAAACATGAAGCACGTTGTAGTATATGTAAAATATATCCAATACTTGGTTTTCGTTATCGTTCATTAAAACATTTTAATTGTGACATATGTCAAAGTTGTTTTTTTTCTGGTAAACAAACAAAATTTTTTAAAATGGATGATCCTTTACAAGAATATTATACTGAAGTTTGTTATTTGGAAAGAAAAAAAAACATATTTTGTTTATTTATTTATTTATTTTATGTAGACAACATCATCAGAAGATATTCGAGATTTTTTTCGTATATTTAAAAATAAATTATGGACTAAACATCGAAAACAACCTAAACTTGGATACTTACCATTACCACATGTTTTTGATAATAATATGTCAACAACATCTCAACCAACATCTTCTCCTGTATTAATTCCAGTTTTAACAACACCATTCAAGTAAATAATTTCAATTTAATTTTGTTAGACATAATTTAAAAAAAAAAAAGAAAAAAGAAGTGTTGAAGCGTATATAGTGTACAAATTTACAATCATTCATCCATAGACAAACCATGACCGACATAACCATTGAATTGTCACAAACCGTAACGCATATGGTTGATATACAATCATAGACTGTGACCAATAATATTGATATACAATCAAAGGTTGTATATTAATAACATCTCGTTATAATAGATGACCTATGTCATTATTTTATGTCTGGAGGGTTAAGTAGGAGGATGGTGAGAAAATACCCTACAAAATAGATAGAATACAATAAACGCCCTATGATTAACAACATTGTGTGATAATAATTTTTATTTTTTTCTATTTAGATCTGACATTGGAAGTGTACAACCGACAGGTTCAACTATTGAATCGTATGAAAAGAAAAATTTTCTATATAGTATTTTAAATTTTTTTGTTTTTATGGTTTTAGAACTGATGAACATGGTATAATTGCGCAGCATTGTCGAAATTTGAACAGTTTTGTACATGCTTCGGTATGAATATATATATATATAAAAGATTATTCATATTTGATATAAATCAAAAATTTTAATTGGAAACTCAACAAAAAAAATTAAACATAATAGTAGAAATTTAAGTGGATTCTATTAGGGTTATGCAGATGAAGTAACAAGAGATCTATTCGAGATGTAATTCACCGTTTGAGTTCACACGGAGACCACAAGAAATCTCAGTAAAATTAGAAAAAACTTAAAAGAGTTCGTACTCATGAACCTCTGAAGTCGAGTTAAGACCGTTTTACTGAAATTTCAACTTGTAGTTTTACCCATTGATAGATTTTATAACCCTTGGAATATTCTACAAGTAAACTCGGTTTTTGTGACATGTTTGTGGCAAGCGACTGCTTGTTAGAAATTGATTATCTTTGCGAAAGAGCATTCTTATAGATTCAATAAGAGTGTCAAACAAACAGATTACAGTTGAGATAGTTTCCTCGTAAGTCCAATTCAAGAGCAAAAAGAAATGTTCATTATCCAAAGAAGTTCATGATGTAAATGAATAAAAATCAACAATTATTTGTCGATATTTTAGCCTCGTGTTGCTGCACATGATATATTAACACGATCTCGTTCACTTGATAATGAACAACGTAATGAATTAGAAGCTATAATTCGTGATCTTGAAGATGAAAATCGTTTATTACAAAATGAATATGAACGTTTATGTCAACAACATATGGAAAAATCTTTAATTATTAATGATCGACAATATCAATTTCATCAAAGTGATAGTCAATTAGGTTCATTATCATTAATAAATGATTATAATACAAGTGATCGTGAAATGTTACGTGAAGCTAAACAATTACGTCATCATAAAACAAAATTAGAACAACGTATGAAAATACTTGAAGAACATAATAAACAACTTGAAAAACAATTAAGAAAATCAAAACAATTATTATTTCGAGAAGTAAGAAAATAATTTTTTTTGTTTTTGAAATATTTTATCAAATATATATTATTTAGTCACCTTCATTACATCATCATACAAGTAATGGTAATATGACTGAACATCGTTCAACAACAATATCAAGTCCATTACATAGTTCAACATTAGGTTTAAGACGTTCAATGGAAAGAAATTTGGAACGACAATCAAGTAATTTTTAAAATTTTTAATACAAAAAAAAAATTTTTCATTTTTGTTTTTTGTTTAATTATTAGATTTAATAACAATTGATAATCTATTTCATATGGCTGATGATATCAATCGTGCTGTTGGTGATCTTGTTTCTGTTATAACTGAACCACAAACAAATAATTCACCATCTTATTATCAACAAATCGATAATACAGTTGCATCTTAAACGAGCAATTATGCATGCTCTTTTTTTTTTCTATTCTAATGTTTGTGTGTGCAATGCAATCAAACAGTGTGTGTGTGGGTGTATAATTATTTAGTTGGAACTATATTCTCAGGCAGTGTTAGTCAAATATATAACGACTAATCACATATCATTTGTTTTTTTTTTTCTGTTGTGGAGAATTTGTTTTTTTTTTTGCGTGTCTAAGTCATCCTTTATATATGTATGATTTTTTTTTTCCTTTTAATATATATATATATACATTTTACCATGATTGCAAAGAAATAGATAATAAAAAAAAAATAATATTTTAGATGTCTTGAGTTTTTAACGTGATGATTTTATTTTTTGGGAACAAATTTTTGGATATATGGAAGTTTTTTAATTCGTCATAAAAATTCGTTGTTTGGTTGAAAACAAATAATCAGAAGAGAATAGATTATAATCAATATGAAATAATTGATAATTTATTTTGGAATATACATAGTTGGTTGTTTGTTTTTGGTAGACAAAATTATTCTTGATGAGTATTTTTGAAATACGATCTAACATGAATGTCGAAATGTATACAGTAGAAATTTGTACTCTTCACACGAGCGTGTGAGACATCCTTGGCAACGCATCTCCTTGATCATAGACCGTGACAGACACCGTGCTAATAGTTTGCTCTCTTCCCTTTGTCACAGATCGTATATCAATAATGTCTAGTTATAATATATGAACTTCTTCCTTATTGAGTTTCTAGAGTAATGAAGTAAAACTTTTCATGTAATACCTTTAATAATAGAAGATAAATTACATTCATTATTCGTTTAAAAAAAATTAAATAAGTAATAAAAGATCTAGTTTTAATATATTACTCTTGTCTATTCAGCATTACTCAAAAAATGATTAAACAAAAAAAATTCTCTTTAAAAAATAATCAAAACAATAATATGAAATTTAATTTGAACATTTTTTTCATTATAAAACTCTATATTGTATTTTGAATCAATTGTCAACATAAATTTTAATAAGATCGAGAAAATTTCTCATCAATTTATGAAATACAATAATTTAGATTTTTCTGTAAAATTTAATTTTGATCTTGAAAATTTTCTAGATCGAATATATATACATATATCATTTGTTTTAGATATTTATTTTCATATATTTTGAAAAATTCCTAATGGAATCCCCATTTTCTGATATGGATTGGCTTGATACAGCATCAAATACTCTTGATCTTGCAATACAAAAAGGTCTTTATACAGAATTTAGTCATCTAAAATCTGATCTTGATCGTATACGTTTTATACATAATCATCGTACAAATCTTTTATCAAATACATTTGAACGTTATTTATCATCAACATCATCATCATGTTTAACAAAAAATGCTACAACAGCAATAAATTTTCGTAAAAAAGGTAATGATTATTTTGTTGAAAAAGATTTATCACGTGCAGCATGGTGTTATCGTGCAAGTATTGCATTATCAACAATAAATAGTCAAGATATGGCATTATCATATGGAAATTTATCAGCTGTTCTTTTTGAATTAAGTCATTATCATGAATCAATACGTGCTATACAATTAGCTAATGATTTTTATCCAAATGAACTTAAATTTAAGTAAGTTAAAAATAATGTTTATTTTTTCTTTGATTAAATTAAATTTTGTATTTTAGATTAGTATTTCGTCGAGCTGCATGTTATCATAAATTAAATGATCCTGAACGTAGTGCTTATGAACTTAAAATATGTCGTGATCTGATTAAAAAAACTGCTGGTCTTGATAGAAAAAAAATTGATTCATTTTGTAAAGAAATGGATCATTTAAGTCGACAAATAGCAATTTTAAATAAACGAAAAGAAGAAGAAGAAGAAGAAGAACAACAACAACAACAACAACAACAACAAATTAAAAAATCATATAAAAATCTTGATGATCTTATTCAAAATTCACAAACACCAACTGAAACAATAGCTACTTGTTTATTAAAATCAACTGAAGAAAAAACTACTGATGAATTTTGTCCACCATCACCTCCATCACCACCTCGTAGTACAATTCTTATTGATGAATCAAAATTATTATTAAATGGACCTAATAAATATATACCTTGTGCTAGTTCAACTTTACGTCTTGCTTATTCAAAGGATAAAGGTCGACATATAATTGCTAATCAAGATATTCCATCGGATGTATTAATACTTAATGAACGTCCATATGCTTGTTTATTATTACCTAAATTTGCTTATACATACTGTGATCACTGGTTAGTGAATGTCTCTAGGCGATAGAAAGTGTTTTCTTTTTTACTATGGAAAATTTTGATTAGACGAAATCTACATACAACAGAATACTATGAAATTGTGACATTGCAAATATATAATGAGATTTTTCTGATATATAGTTAAGTTGATAATTATATGTTTCAGTAAAACAAGACAAAAATATTCTCACGATTGAATTACAAATGATAGATTAATACTCTGAATATCAACAGTTAATGCAAAGTTTATACCGAGATCGAGATGTTGATGAATATAATGAGAATTTTTATCTAGGGAAAACTTACGAGGTGTTCAACTGTGCTTAAAACCGTTAAATTTTTGAGTGAGTGAGACTTGTATATGTTTCGGACTGTTCAGTTTTCTGCACAGTAAGATGGAACTAAGCTAAATAGTTTACAATTTAAAGTTTTGTTGAGTGTTATAGATGAGAAAAATCTTGATCTTTTTCATTGACACTTCTGTCTGATTATATGACTAGTTTATGCTAATAAACGAAAAGTAAAGATTTTAATAAATTTGATTAGTTATTTTTCACACTATTCACTCAAAATATGGAAGTCAAACTAAAATTTTACTGTTGATAACTAAAGATTTTTGCATGTCATATTAGTCTATATGCATATAGTCAGTAGAGCTACGAGACTAGGGTAGATTCAAACATTTATTTCTCGTACCATCAGATTGATAGATTTATGGAGTGCATCGGAATTCTTATAAGAAACATCAAAACTTGTTTACCAACGTTCGACTATAAATAGTAATATTTTCGTAGTGAAGCAGACTTAGAAAACTTTTTTGAGAAAATATTGAATGTTGTATTACTAAATAATTGACCCTATATTACTAATCACTTGAATTATTACAATCTTGTTACAAGTGAAAAAGATCTGTATGAGAAACTCGAGTTAGATAAACTAAAAGCTACCCAAAAGTTTTCTTCGTCTTCAGCAATTAATGTTAAATGTCTAAGAAACATTTTTAACAAAATGAGCAAGTCCACAGTGTAATTCGTTTTCTTTCTGTTGACACTACTATTTCATTCTTATTCTGTTTTTATTTTTCAGCAAAGTAGATCGAAAACTCTTCTTTCGAGAATCGTCATGAGTTACAAATAAATATTGATGTCTCTCGATACAAGCTGCACATTTTTTCTGAATCGTATCACCTTTACACAGTGCAAAATGTGAATTGGTAATCAGATGCACTAACTGTCTTTCATCTAAATAGTATAAAAAGATTCATTCTCGTCTATTCCATGTCTGCATATTTATATTTCCATAGAAAGAAAAAAACAATTTTAATCTTTCTAAGATCAATAAAATAAGATTTTATTTTATAAAATTTCAGTTATAATTTTTTTTCAAAGATTTAAATAAAAATTAAAGAGATTTTTTTTTTATGCAGTTTAGAATAATCATCTATTATATTTTTCTTTCAATTCATATTTTTAGTTTAACGGCTATTGTCATACCATATGTATGTCCTCAATGCTCTCATGTTCTATTCTGTAGTGAACATTGTCAACAACGTGCACTTGCTAGTTATCATCAATATGAATGTAAACATATTCATATACTTAAAACATTAGGCATAGCTTTTCTTGGTAAAAATTTAATTTTCTTTTTCTTTTTTTTTTTTGTCTATATATATATATATTTAAAAACTTAATATTCAATTTCTTTAAGCTTATCGTACATTGACAATAACTGATCATGAAACATTATGGACAACAATAACTCAAACAACAATTCCGAATGATAATGAAGAACAAAATAATAATAATCATAATAATCATAATAATAATAATAATAATATATATAAATCAGATTATTCATCGATACAAAAATTAATAACACATACAGAACAAATGTCTACTGATGATTTATTTCATTATTCTTTAACAGCATATCTTCTTTCAGAAATAATAAAATCAACAAATTTTTTAAGATGTAATCAAATAAAAAAACGTGATACTGAACAAATTTTACTTGCATCTATATTGCTTAAACATATTCAACAAATGATATGTAATGCTCAAACAATATCAATAACAAAAACAAATCAAATTGATGATATTATTTTTGATAATGATGATGATCATGATGAAATAACAAAACGTTTTGCTTCAGCTATATTTCCAACATGTGCATTAATGAATCATTCATGTGTACCAAATATTCGTTGTGTATTTGATCAAGGATATTTACGTGTATATACAGCGAAAACAATACGACAAGGTGAAGAAATTTTAAATTGTTATGGTCCACAAAAATCTCTTATGCCATCAATTGAACAAAGACAAAATGTTCTATTAGAACAGTATTTTGTAAGTTGAAAATATTTGTTTCTTTTTTTGATCATTTATATTTTATTTTTTTGAAGTTTAAATGTCAATGTGAAGGATGTAGTGAAGTACAAAAGCCTCAAATTGAAACATTAGCAAATGGTGAGAATTAATTTAAATTGTTTTTTTTTGGGAGATATTGAATATAATTGAGAAATTTACTTTTTATAATTTATAAATTTTTCAATAAAAAATAAATAAATAATAGTTAATATAATTAGAAAAATAATCAAGTTTTTATTCTAGAATCTACTTTGGTACAAATGAGAATTTCGATTTTGGGTACTTTCATTTTCTTTTTCAAAAAAAAATTTTTGTCTTATATTCCGTAACAAATACTCTACGAATACAATATGTATAGTCCTTGTTTTTTACATGTACCCTAAACATAAAAGATGTTTCGTGTGAAATGATAATCATAATTGATAGGTTAGAGAGTTATCAAAACATAAACATTTCTTTAGGAAAAGTTTTTCAGTCTAATAAACACGAATAACTTAAATGAACTTGTGGATATTATAATATGAGATCACAAGGAGCATAATGACATCAATTAATGTATGTATTAACTATTTGTTTACATTTTGTGTATTTCACTAGAAGTGCCAGATTAGTATTAATTTTAATTCTAATACATATATCACCTATGACTATTCATGATCGAAAGTTTCCTATATCCGGAAGTGTCATTCCCAAAACAAAACAAAATTGTTCGATTTTGGGAACTTCTAAACTTAGTGTCGAAAATCTAGTCGTTGGTAATCTATATATTAGGATTTAAAATAACGCTAGTTGAATACAGCAATTTCGGATTAATTAATTCTAATGCAAATAATATCATAGTATTAAGGTTAATTTTAATACTAATACCTAAAACATTAGCATTAGTATTAATAAATACTAATGATAATTCTAATACGACACTTCTATATTTAAGAAATCAAAGGTATTTAGAACTTATTCTTGAGCAGTCTATATTAATAACCGTCAAATCAACATTACAGTGTTTTCGTGCAACGCTAAGATTTATGTGCATTTGACAGGAATGTCGCGAACGGAGAAGAAGGGGTCGGGAAGATGATTTCCTCAGTATAGAGGAATTTCATAGTTTTCTTTTGATCATCAATTCCAAAAAAACTCTCAATCTTCTCCTCACTAAATCCGATCAACTTTAGCAAAAATCTTTCAATCAGTCTTCTAAGTCATCGATCCTCCCCCCCTCAATCCTTGCAACCTCGGAACACTCATAACAATAGAAAAGAAGCAATAATTTCTACAGTAGAAGTGTATGAAATCATAGAGAACTTTAGAGAGTTGCAAATATTTTCAAATAGATAGCTAATATCAACGTCAGAATTAAAGAGAGATGGGTATAAACTCAATAGATCGACAATGGTAATAAGTAGTGATCTGTGGTTTTTAGCAATCGAACAAGAAGAATTCCGGACGCCTTTTTGCCTAATACTATATAAGACAAAACAATTTTAAAACTCATCATCTTCGCAAAATATTTAAAAAGAAAATGCTTGAAAACGGTAGTTCGTTTCAAGGAAATTTTAATAAAAAGTCGTAAAATTTGCTAAAAATCAACAGAATTCTATATAATTTGATCAAATAGATATGTGATCTTATTTTCTCAATATTTATATATAAGAAGATAATCATCTGAATCATGCCTTGAACTATAGATACGAAGTCTCTCTATCTGAAGTATATGTTAAAATCAAAATTACATCGAAACATAACATCGTTTTTATGCATTTTTTAAAATATTTTGCGAAGATGATGGACTCTAAAAAAATTTTGTCCTGTATAGTATCAAACAAAAAGCTGTCTGGAGTTCTCCTCTTTCGATTGCTGGAAATCGCAGATCACTAGCTATTGCTGTTGTCAAGCTATTGAACTTATACTCATCCCTCTTCAATTCTGACGTGAACATTAGTTGTTAGGTTCGATTAAACTTCATATAATTCGACGCCGATCTAATTGAATATATATTTTCAAAACCTAGTAGGTTTAACAAAATATTATGAGACTCATTGAACTATGTTAAGTTTCAATTGATTTAAATTTGAAATATTTTATTGCCTAAAAAATTAACCATTGTTTGAGTTTTCACTAAATTTTAGCATTTTTTGAAATACTCAATTTTCATGACATCTAAAACTTCTTCACCTTTTTTTTTTTTGTTTTTTTACTTGTTTTAATGAAATCAATCTTGAAAATGAAATGATCAAATAACATTATTTGTATTCTTAAACACGTCATATTCATTAAATTTTTGATACTAAAATTAAGTTTTAGCTAATAAATTAACTTTATAAATTCTTTTTCTAATATCATTTATTTGTGTATTTTTTTTCTTTTTTGTTTTCATGTCGCAAAACGAAGATATCTACAACACGTAAATTACATAATCCTAAAACAACAACAACAACAACAACAACAATAATGAATAATTCAACTGATCATTCTCAATCACAATCATTAATTGTTCATGATAGTCAACAAACAAATGATTTAACTCGTTTTTATTTAACAACATCTGATAAATTACTTGAAGCAAAACGTATATTTTCTCAAGGTCTTTCATCATATACACAAAATCATTCATCATGGGAACAAAGTTTAAAATTACTTAGTGATTCTACACGACTTTATGAACAAATATTACGTGAAATTAATTTAGATACTGTAAATCTTTATGAATATAGTAAGCAAAAATTATAAATTAAATATAACAGAAAAAAACAAATAATTTTTTTTTTCTTATAGTTGCTTCAATATATAATGATCGTAATCAATTTGAATATACATGTATGTATTTAAATAAATGTATATCAATATTAAAAATGAATTTATCAACATCATGTTCATCAACAACAATACTTCTTGTTGATGTTCTACGTAAATATGCTCAAACATTATTTAATTGTCGAAAATTTGATGATGCTCGTCGAACAATAATTGAAGCACAAATTTTACTTGATCAAATGACATCAACATCAACAATATCAATAAGTGAAGATGAAAAGCGTACTATTGGAGTTTTACAGACAATAGAAGATTTAAAAGCAAAATGTGATCTATGTCTTGGTTAATATCTATTCTTTTGTTTTCTTTTTGTTGTTGTTTCTCATCTGAAATTGATGCAATCAGTTCTCTCTTCTTTTTTTTTCTTTGTCATTGATTATCGGTGCTATTTAATGGTTATTGTTCATTCTCAGGGATAATGACCAATTCTTTTTTTGATAGATTCATAAAGAATAAGTATTGTATTCATGTGCATGATTTTTGTTCTTGACTGAAAGTCCATTTTTTTATATTAATTAAGATTATGAGTATATAATTGTCTTTTTTTTTCTTCTCTCCATCGTCGATTTCTGAGAATGGGATGCTTGTTTATCTATATTTAAAAAGATATCACTGAATTATTAAGTTTCAAAAGAAAAAACTAAACAGAAATTTGAAAGATTTTTGATAAGAAAAAGTTAATTATTGGAATCAAAAAAAAAAAGAAATATGATTGTGATGAGAAAAAAAAACATCTGAATGATTCAGTATATAAATGAAACGATTAGAGCATATGTGAATGTGATTGCAAAATAAAAATGTCAAAAAACGATATATAAAAGTATAATACAGAAAAAGATATTGTTCTAGTATTATTAATAAAGACTTTATATTTTGATATTAGAAGTATAACATCTATATTTTAAAAGAAAAATTTTTTTGACGGAAGATAAAAAAATAAGTAGCATAGTGAAATAACATAGATAAATGAATAAAACAATTTCTATTACATAGATGCATTTTTATTTTAGTTCTTTTTCTAACTACATAGGGTAAATCAGTAAGAATATCCGATAAATTGATAAGATTATTATCATATCGATTATACAGAGATCACCAAGATTGGCGGAAGATTGAGCTCATCGGGTTCGAAAATTTTGAACTTGATGAGCTCAAATCGTATGAGAAATATGTAGAATGTGTTAGTCACCGAATATAAAAAGCCGGAAAAAGATATCTCGCATTTTTCGGATAACGAAATCTATTGAGAGGGACATCCCTGTTCTGAACATTCTTGGTTGTATGGTTATTATTTGAATATTATTTTTTTCTAGTGACACCAGCCGACTAGTGAATCATAATGTGTGGTACCTTTTTTTCTTCATCTTGAAAGAATTTGATGAAAGAACATATGTTGGAGTGACTTCGACTGTTCATTCTGTTATGATAACCTTTGATAAGAAAGAGAATAAGTTTAATACTGAAGCTGTCATTCTCATCTTCACAAACATTGTTCGTTCATATATCACATGTGAACACGTTCTCGAAATCAACTATCACTCATTGAATTTGTTTTTCAAAATATCTTAATAATTGTTGCATTGGATAAGTAGAGATTTGATCAACATCAGTTTGTGTTTCATTAAAAAGATTGATCATTTGTTCATGTGACATTGTTATAACTTAGGATTGTTAGCATCATGTTTCTTCACATTTTTTAAATAGTTTTATTTTGATGCTTAACTTTCGTAATATCAAACAGTAGAATGTCTCTTTTTGACATTTTTATTTTCGACCTTAGTCAAGGAAATTACAGTTACTTCATCATACAAACAAATAAATTAATATAGAATCAAAAATGCCATTTTAACCTTCGATATTAATGAAATATGTATATAAGATATCTATATCATTAGCAATGATCCATTTTTTTATGTTGACTTGAATAGTTTCTCGATAAATTTTCATTTGATATATTAATGAAAATAACCTGAGAGACAAAAAAAAAATCTTCTTGACTGATTATACTATGCTTTAAGTATTCACAAATCTTAGGCTTAATGTTTTATAAGCAAAAAAGTACTATGATTAAGTCCTATATCATGTTTAAATCTTTAGAATTTAATTAAAATATATACGCTCATTTTCTATTATGAAGGTAATTAAAAACTTGTTTGTAAAAGAGAACAAACAACATGCAATCAAACATTTGATATTGAAATAATTATTAATCAAATAATTAAAATAAAACTATCATAGTTACATGTATTCAATAGTAACTCTAGACAACAGATTTTCATCTGAATGAATCATTCTAAAT